CCATCTGAAACTCCCAGAGTGCACTCTGTGTGGGAAGCCATCTTCTGTCCATTCCTTGACCTGTGACCTCCAGCCACCTTGACCTCCCCAGGTTCTAACCCTAACCGTGGTCAAAGAACCCAACAGATTCTGCATGGTTTCCTATCTCTTGGGGGGTGGGGGAGACATAAGCTCAGTACATTGGTTTCCTGTCTCTTGGGGGGTGGGGGAGACCATGGTGGGCTTTACCATTTCTAATCAGTCAGTGTCCCAATATCTCCATAAACATTGTGTCATGTATTTTTTGACGGTGTTTAGCTGTTTCACGTGGAGGATTAATCCATTTTTATCCCATCTTCAGTGAAAACAGAAGTGGGTATGAAGTTCAGATGTTTTCAATCAAAGCTGTGGTCCTTTTCTGCTGCTGCTCGCCATCTCTAGGGTTAATATCTGCCTGCAGAAGAAAAGGGGTTTGTGAGCAAACAGGACATGAATTAGAGATTCCATTAGAATTTTCAGTAGTTACATTTGTAAGCATACCCTCTATATCCAAGCCCTACTAAGCACACCCCCATATCCAGTCCTACTAAGCACACCCCAATATCCAAGCCCTCCTGAGCACGCCCTCTACATCCAACCCCTACTGAGCACACCCCCATATCTAAGTCCTTCTGAGCACACCTCCATATCCAAGTCCTACTGAGCACAGCCCCATATACAAACCCTACTTAGCATACCCCCATATCTAAGTCTTACTGAACACATCCCCATATCCAAGCCCTATTGAGGAGACCACAATATCCAAGTCCTATTGAGCACACTCCCTATATCCAAGCCAGAATATGTAACTTCCAGAATATGTAACAAACTCAAAAAAAGAATAAAGAAAGGAAGTAATCCAATTAAAAGATGGGCTAAAGAGCTGAACAGAGGGTTCTCAAAAGAAGAAATAAATACGGCTAAGAAGCATCTTAAAAGGTGTTCAACATCATTAGTAATTAGGGAAATGCATATTAAAGCCACTTTAAGATTTCATCTTACCCCAGTGAGACTGGCTAAGATCAAGAGAACAAATGATACCAAATGTTGATGTGGGGAAAGGGGAATGCTCATCCACTGCTGGTGGGACTGCAAACTTGTTCAATCCCTATGGAAAGTAGTGTGGAGAACTCTTAAAAAACTAAAAATAAATCTACCATTTGACCCACTTATACCACTACTTGGCATATACCTAAGGAACTCATCCTATTGCAGAGACACTTGTACATCCATGTTTGTTGCTGCTCTTTTCATAAAGCTAAGAGATGGAAGCAACCTAATTCTCCCTCATCTGATGACTGGATAATGAAAATGTGGTTCATTTATACGATGGAGTTCTACTCAGCAGTAAAGAAAGATGAAATCATGAAATTTGCAGGTAAATGGATGGATCTAGAAACTGTTATACTAAGTGAAGTAACACAGACTCAGAAAAACAAACAATGTATGTTCTCCCTCATATGTGGGTCCTAGTGCCAATTCCTTATAAGTGAGTATATCCAGACATAACATACGTAAACCAGGATAATGAAAAGGAATCAGGGAGGTAAAGGAAAAGAAAGAATCTGAAATAGAGGAACAGTAGAAAACAGGCACTAATAAGGGCAATATGCATAAAAATGGGCTTCTTTTAAGGGGAAGGGGGAAGAGAGGGTTATACAAGGAACCTTGGGGATAAAGGGAAAGAATGAGCTCAAGAGAGGAGTTACCATAGGAGAAGGTTATTATTAAGGGAGAAATGGGAAAAATTGGGGCACTTTAAATAGGGAAGCCATGGTGGAAGCATTAGACAATGAGAGAGATAAATAATGCCTAGCTAGTTTACAAAAAACAGAGGGAGTCATATTAGTCCAACAGCATACTAACAGATTATACACACAACTAGCTCAAGGAAAATAATATATGTCTGGTCAAGGTTTATCTGAAAACATTTGGTTCTTTTCCCAAGCTTTATCTACATAGCACCTGGTAATTAAACATACCAGACTAGTGGAACTAACCTTCTTGGATGTTTAACAGCCATACTTTGAGGCCTATACTAATCTGGTCAGAGGGACATAAAGGACAGTTTTTGCTCCTTGCCCTCCAAGGTCTACTAAGTTCCAGGGGACTATGAGCATCTCTCAAAATGTCCTGTAACTGTGGTGAGTCACCTGTCCTCTTGATCAAGTAGGCTGTGGAGACCCCACCAGATGGACTTGATAGTGTCCAGTCTACAAAGAGGAGAGTCAATACAGAGAAAATATTTTCTCCATGCTTCCAAGTTAAGCCAGCCATGGTGGAGTAGGACCTTTGACTTATCTTCACATAGACGGAACTGGTAAAAGAAAGGAGCCAGGGGCTCCTCCCAAGCCCATGTGACTCCTAAGGAACAAATCCTCAAACAACCTTAAGAGTAAAAATAAATTGGTTAATCTGGGCCAACTGTAGGGTCTTAAACACCCAAAAGGTAAGTATAACCAAAGATTAAGGTGATCAGTATAATTATTTAAGAGTTCATGTGTATAGCTAAAGGCCGCATAACAAGAAACTATGGCCGATAGGAGATACCTTCTACTGAGTTGTTGGCCAGGGTGGCCCAAGAGACTCCCAGATAGTAACTCAGCATAGAACTGGGAAAATGAACAGCAGACCCCAATCTTATCTAAAGGAATGCTGGCAATTGATTGCTGCTAGATGAGGAAGAGCTGAGCTTCCTAAAACAAGGAACTCTAGATAAGCTGACTAGACTCAGTGGATGGCCTAGCACTGGGGAACATCTGGGGACACTGATAACACAGTGGACAGTAACAGGGATGACAGTTTATGGGCTCCAGTTACAGGGAGGAGGCTATGGGAGGGTGCCATTTGGGATGTTGGTATGAAGATGAATAAGATTGTTTGGGATGATCTGTATGGAATACACACAAAAAAAATCAATAAATTAAAAATGAGTTATATTTGAGAAAGAAGCATAAAAATTTGCTTTCATGTTAATCAGTAGACATGTAATACATTACCATTAAAATATATCTGATGATTTTATATCCATTCTCAGGTGCCAAGGATCTCAGAAAGTAAACCACTGTGACTAGTAATAATCAAATATATAGAGATTAGAGACACATGTGCAAACACCTAAGCATTAGTTACATTAAAAATGAGCTTTTCTGTAGGAAACAGTATATTTTAAAAAGAAATGGAGATCTTTTTTTAAAGGTTAAAACTTCATTCAATTTTATGTCTTATAGGGTTTATACTGAATACAATAATGTATAACTGTATTAATTCAATACTGTGAACCTAAAACTTTACAGTCAATTTTGAAAGAGATGCATCTTTGCTCTGGAAACTGTTATTGACTATGTCAATGCTGTTGTAATGAAATACTTCTAATTATGTGGTTATTAAATTTAAAATTATATTTAAAAAGTCAAATAGAACAGCTAAAGCATGTTTGTGAAAGGGGTTCAGCTAGATACCTTTTGCTCTTCCAAAAAGGAATGTTAAGGGGCTGGAGATATGGCTCAGCAGTTAAGAGTACATAATGTTCTTCCAGAGGACCAGAGTTTGGTTCCCAACACTTCATCTAGTGTCTCAAACAGAGGTCTGTTACTAGAGCTCCAGGGTATCTAACACCCTCTTCTGGACTCTGCAGGCACCTGCATTCTGATGTACAGATGCAAACATATACATAATTTAAAAGAAAATAAATTATTTTTAAATTAATTTTAAAAGTAGTATTAATCCAGGCCAACCTGAGCTACAGAGTGTGAACAGGCCATCCATGGGTTACATGACATGTCAAAAACAAACAAAAAAAGATATTAATAAGAGCTAATGGTTTAGAATATGTAGCAAGCACCTTCCCAGCACTTCATCCTATGTGATAAGCACTATTTGCCATTTTACAGAGGAGCAAATGCTGACACTGAAAGAGTGGAAAAAGCAAAAAATAAAAAATCCTTATCTTTAAGCACTTTAGTGTTACCTCACCCTACCCTGTCCTTGGTCAGCACACTCATGCCTGGTGCACTCTGCTCTCATTTCTTGGGATTATTTTCTGACTGTACCCTACTTCTAAACTTCATCTGTACAGTAACCTGGCTACCTCCACCTCCCAAGTGATGTCAAGGTGTCCTGTACCACAGTCCAAGGGTGCGAGGGACTAGGCGGGGCCTGTGGGTGGGGCGTTCCCAGGCGTCTGAGTGGTGCAGACATAGAGAAAGTAACATCTTCCAGGGCTCAAGGCTCAGGGCTCACGGCTCAGGACTTTCGATGCCTACATCCCGGTGAGCCTAAGCTCAGTCTAGAACCACGCTTCAGGTATCAGTTTTTCAGATAGTTATTTTCCCTCCCAGCACACAAGTCCTCCCTGCTCCTCCTTCCCCCTCTCAAGCTGTAGAGTCTGGCAGTCCTCACCAACCTCAGGCTTAAACCTTCCTGAAAAAGAGGAGAAGGTCCTACGCTCTCTCCGCCCCTAGGGCCACATTGGCGCTGCATTTCCTCCACTGCAGAGCACAAGTATAGTGGCAGGAGGACTGCCTCCTGGAGGTCACAGAAAACTGATGGCCCTGAAGAGGAGGGCGGCCCTGGGGCGGGGTCGGAGTGGACCCGGAAAGGAGAGGAGGGTCAGGAAGGTCAGAGGAGGGACCTCCGGGATGGGATGGGTCCGTCAGGAGTAGGAAGCTTGGAGGGTAGGAAAGGATCAAATAGATGGGCGCGCCCGCGGAGTCCAAAGCCCTAAAGGATTAGGAGAGGGTAGTCCCAGGGTGGCCTGGATTCAAGGCCACTAAAGAACTTGGAGAGGAGGGCGGGCCCAGGAGGTGGGCCCGAGGGCGGGGCTACTAGATCTGGAAGTGAGGATACTGGGCACCAATGAACTTGAACCGTGAGCTTGGAAAGGAAGGGAGGGCTCCAGGGAGGGACTATGGACCTGGAGGGGTGGATCCAAATGGAATAGTCAAGTTGGATTGGAGAACTGGGCCAAGGAGGGCGGTCCCGGGAGAGCCGAGATCCTGCTGCTGACCGAGATCCCACTTGGCTGAAACAACTCGGAGAGGGCGTGTTTGGCCGAGACACCGGTGAAGGCCAGGTTCCTGGGCGTGTCCTAAGGGCTAAGGGACCTGGAGGACCCGTAGGTGTTCTGAGTTCAAGGTCTTGGAAAGGGAGAGCCCGGGGGCTGGTACTAGGATGGGTCTACAGACCTGGAGGGCGGGATGGGCACTAGGGCGGTGCTAATGGCTCTAGAGGGGCGCATAGGAGAGAGCGTTATGGACCAGGTGAGGAAAGAGCTGGTCCCAGAGAGAAAAAGTCTAGGGGGCGGGGTTAATGGACGCGGAGGATTGGAATGGGGGGGGGGTGAGAACCTGGGGGAGGACAGGGCAGGTCTCTGGAATAAAGAACTTGGAAAGTGGGGTGGCCAAAGAGGCCAGCCGGGGGAGCGGGCGGCTGGGAAACACGTGGCTGGCCCCCGCAGGTCCAGGACCACCAAGTGGTGACAGCGCCGGCGGCTGTGGACCAAGGAGCGAAGGCAGCTGGACGGGGGCGGGACCTGAAACTGGGGCCAGCGCCTCACGCAGTGGGCTTGACCTCTGCGGTCCGCAACCCGCTGTCTCAGGGCAACCCCTACTTGGTGGAACCAGAGGACCTTGCATGCTGCTGGTTCCCAGGGAGGCTGAGGCCGCCGCACCCTCTTCACCGAGATGGCCCTGCAAGGCGCCGAGAACGCGGCCAACACGGGGTCGTGCCCTGTCCCAGGCGCCCCGAGTGACACCGGGTCCTCCTCCTCTGGGCTGTGGGCCGCACTCTACGACTATGATGCGCGCGGCGAGGACGAGCTGAGCCTGAGGCGCGGCCAGCTTGTGCAGGTGCTGTCCCAGGACGCCGCGGTGTCAGGGGACCAGGGCTGGTGGGCCGGCCAGGTGCAGCGGCGCCTGGGAATCTTCCCTGCCAGCTACGTAGCGCCGTGTCACCAGGTGTCATCGCCCGCGCTGCCCCCGCCAAGACCCTGCTCGCCGGTGCACGTGGATTTCGAGCACCTGGAGCTCAAGGAGCTGATCGGCGCAGGAGGTTTCGGGCAGGTGTATCGCGCCACTTGGCAGGGCCAGGAGGTGGCGGTGAAGGCAGCGCGCAGGGACCCAGAGCAGGATGCTGCTGCGGCAGCCGAGAGCGTGCGGCGGGAGGCGCGGCTGTTCTCCATGCTGCGGCACCCCAATATCATCGAGCTGCGGGGTGTGTGCCTGACACAGCCTCACCTCTGCCTGGTGCTGGAGTTCGCGCGTGGAGGGGCGCTCAACCGCGCGTTGGCCACCGCCGCATCCAATCCCAGCACGCCAGGCCAGCACCGAAGGTTCAACATCCCCCCACATGTGCTGGTCAACTGGGCTGTGCAGATCGCCCGGGGCATGCTGTACCTGCACGAGGAAGCCGTGGTGCCCATCCTCCACCGCGACCTCAAGTCCAGCAACAGTAAGTAAAATGGGGACCCTCTGTGCCACCCTGGGGGGCCCTCCCGGGGGACTTGGTGCCAGGTGCAAAGAGATGGGTCGGGGGGAAGACAGTCTATGGTTGACTGACATTAGGGAAGTTCGTACTTACTTTGACTTTATTTCCACTGGATATCTTTTTAAAAGTGGAGGACAAGACTTGCTTGTGGATAAATTCTTGTAACTCCCTGGACCTGCTGGGAACATGGGAGTTGATTGGTCTTTAGTAACCTTAGAAGGGACCAGAAGAAAGGATATTTTTGTCACATGTCTGTGTAGATCTCATCCTTTCAATCCATTTGCATAGAACTTTGCCAGCCTAAGCATTATGGAGATTACCAAGCACTGGTGACCCCTTGTGTAGCCTGATAGCCTTATCAAACTCCCTATCTCCCTTCTTCCACTTTACGAGTATATTATTGAAGTTTCTATCTCCTTTTTTTCCTTTGTTTGTGGTGAACTAAGGGCTCATGCATGCACTCATCTCTGCCCTCCCACCCCACCCCCTTGCCCCAGATTGTCTCATGTGGAATGTGGCCCCTCCTGTCCTTGGACTTTTCCAGGGACTTATCACTCAGATGTCTCTATGCACAAAATGTGAGTTTATCATAGGTCTGTTGCTTCCTTCTGCACACAGGAAGCACCCATTTGAGTTCATGTGCCCTTTTGGATTAAAAACAACTGTACCCACCTTGCACAGGTACTCAAAACCCCAAAGTTCAAGCCTGTGTCAGTTATTCTGTTTATAAATCAGTGGGTTTTCCAGATGTCAGCAGAGAGCTGATATGGGCCCTAAACACAAACCCCTCTAATGTTAACTGTGTCAGAAAGCTAAGAGGGTTGATTGCCATTGGCAGTTGCTTCTTTGCTATTGAAGATCCCTTCCCTCCTTAGCAGGAAACTTCTTGCAAGATGAAAGGATGCAGCTAGAGCTGGCACTGATGTGCCACAGCTCTATGCCCTTCAACCATGGGAAACCTGCCAGGACAGGAGCTAGCTGGAGAGAATGAAACAGTTGTATGTTTGTAAGAATTATCAAAATTCTTCACTATAGAAATGTGCTTAGAAATTGATAATGCAGTCTCTCCATCATGCAAAATCTCAGCTTCTCCATCAATGGGAGTCAAGTGTAGCAGAAAAGTGCTGATGACCATGATATGTTCTCAGCACTCCAAATGGCTGCATGAAGGACCCTGGAATTGTCTTTAGAGTGTATATTAAAGCACAACATGATGTTCTCTCTCTCTCTCTCATGTTCTCAGCACTCCAAATGGCTGCATGAAGGACCCTGGAATTGTTTGTCTTTAGAGTGTATATTAAAGCACAACATGATGTTCTCTCTCTCTCTCTCTCTCTCTCTCTCTCTCTCTCTCTCTCTGCATGAGCCCAGGTGTTTATGTATGTGCACATGGGTGTAAAGGCCAGAAGTACTATTTCTCAGGTACTGACCACCTTTTTACTGAAACAGAATCTCTCACTGACCTGGAATTCACTGATTCAGCTAGGCTGGGAGCCCAGGGTTCTCCTGTCTCTGGTGCCCCAGTGCTGGGATCACAAGCCTGTCATCAGGCAACACATTCTACCTGTGTTATGAGATTCAAACAAAAAAGCAACCAGCACCTGGCTCTGTGTATTTAGTGAATAAATGAAGGTGTTTGGGAATTCCCTTTGATGTTTGAAGTTGTATTTTCTTGTTCTAACTTCGGTGTGTAGCAGACATGATTTCAGTAGGTTGTATTTAACTTTATTATTTGCTGGTAGCAGTGAGTTACTGGCAGTGTACACATCACTGTAAGTCAATATTGAGTTTTATTTTCACTGTGCAGTCAACTCACATGGCAACGAGCCAGTAGACGACCAAGTCAATGAGAATCATTGTTTAAAACAACTGTTTGAATTTGTCAGAAGTTTCTACACCTCTTGGCAAGTTTTCTTTCATCTTCCCTAGTGAATCTTAAGTTTTTTACTTCTTGGGGACATGTCTTCCATGAAACAATAGCCAATAGGTTGGAATAATACAGATTTCATCCTTTCTGACAATTACAGATTGAAAGTTATGCCATAGTAGCAGGGTGTGTATGAGTGTGAGTATGAGTGTGAGTGTGTGTGTGTGTGTGTGTTTGTGCGCACACATTCTTCTGCACCTGTGTGCAGAGGCCAGAGATCAAACTCAGGTGTCCACCTTGTTTGTTCTTGGGAGATAGAGTCTTTCGGTTTTACCTGAAACTTGCCAGGAAGCCCTGACCCCAGGGATCCTCCTGTCTCTGCCTCCCCAGCACCTGGGCTAAAAGCATGTGCCATTGTGCCTGGCTTTTTTATGTAGGTTATGAGGAATTGAACTCAAGCACCTTATAGCCACCCCACAATTGCAGGCTTAAAACTTCCTGGTTGTGCTGGGCGTGGTGGTACACACCTTTAATCCCAGCACTTGGGTGGTAGAGGCAGGTGGATCACTGTGAGTTCAAGGACAGCCTGGTCTCCATAGCAAATTGTGCTGGGCGTGGTGGAACACACCTTTAATCCCAGCACTTGGGTGGCAGAGGCAGGTGGATCACTGTGAGTTCAAGGACAGCCTGGTCTCCATAGCAAACCCATGCCAGCTGTGGCTACAGGGAGATCCTGTCTCAAAAAGACCAAAAAAAGAAAAAGAAAAAAAACCTCCTGGTTGTAAAGAAATGCTGAGCTCTGTAGCTCCTAAAGTGAATGCACCCCAGGTGGTAAACACTGCGGTGTCCTGTGCCCCTGTGCTCTGGCTGCAGAAAGAGAGAAGGCAGCTTTGAAGAACAGTGGCAGCTGACTTTCTTTTTCAGTGCTAGGGATTGAGCCCAGGGTCTCATACATACTAGGCAAGCACCCTAACACCTGGCTGAAACCCCAGACCTCTTTCTATTTTTATTTTTATTTTGAGACATAGTTTTGCCATGTAGTCCAGGCTGGCCTTGAACCCACTCTGTAGCCCAGGCAGTCATTGAACATGTGATCCTCCTACTTCAGTCTCTTGAGTAGTTGGGATGACAGGCCTGAGCCACCAGATCCAGCCAGCAGATTTTATGTATATATGCATTCAGAATGGAGGGGAAAAAAAAATCTGTGTGCCTGGACACATCTGATCCTGCTCCAGCCTCTCCTGGGCCCCAGGGTCACAGTGGCAAAGCTTGGGAGTTTGACAGTCTTTGCAGGCTTAGAACTTAGTCCAGTAGGGAAGAGCTAACAGTCATGCTGCTGATAGTATTAGCGTTTCTGCAAGGAAATCAAGCACAGAGGGATGGTGGGGGCCAGAGAACTGTCTCAGGCAGGGTGGACATGTGAGGCTGCTCTGAGAAAGGGATGGAGCACAAAAGAGTTTGGGATTGGGAGAGTAGGGCCAGCTGGTCAAGTAGGTGTCTGGGGTGGAGGCTGGGTACACAGGGTCAGCCCTGTGGGATCCTGGCACACTCACTGATGCTTCTACTTGGGAACCCGGGAGCATTTTGTGCCTAGGAGTGGCATGATCTAAGTTCTGTTATTATTTATTATTCACTTTTTTCATTGCTGAGGATGGAACCCACTGCTTCATGCATGCTAATTAAGTGCTCTATGATTGAGCTACATCCTCAGCACTGACTCAAGGTGTTTTCAGCTGGCCAATGAGCAGACAGGATTAATGTGTGTATGAGGTGAGTGACAGCTGTCACTGCTGTTCTGTGACAGTGACTTGCATTAGACTGGGGGAGGGACATGGTGAGGATCACACAGTGTAGACCTTGCTTTCTCACACTAGTAGCTGAGTGTTTCACCTTACCAGAATCCTGCAGTGATGGGGCAGAGCACTGATTTAAGTTCATTTAGACCTGGATTTGCTTTGCTTTGTTTTTGAGACTTGCTGTATCTCCAGCCTCAATTCACTATGTACTTAAGGATAACCTTGAACTTGTGATCCTTTACCTCTGGTTCCCGAGTGTTGGGATTACAAGCATGTGTCACCACATCTGATTTATACAGTGCTGGACACAGAACTCAGGGCTTCATACATGCTTGGCAAGTTCTGATTGAAATCCTACAGGCAAAATCTGTTTTCTGTGTCTTACCACTTCAAAGGTAGTTAGGCAAATACAGGCATGAAAGCAAATCAAATTTCTAGGGAACATTGAACATCCAGGTGTGATCTGCTGATGTGGACAAAGCCAGGAAGGAGAAGAACAAAGCTGGCCACTGTTTGCTTTATGACTGTGCAGCCAAGATTGTAACAATAGCAGCAATAAAAAGTAAAACAGCTCTCCCACATCAGCTTCACATGAATTGTTGATCATTTATGATCAAGTCACTGGTATTTTTTCCACTCCCTGGAAACCTGGAAAATATTGACTGGTTTGAGTCTAGGTATGTCTTTTTTTCCTTTTTTACATTTGGGGTGTGTGTGTGTGTGTGTGTGTGTGCGTGTGTGTGTGTGTGTAAATAGGCACACCACTGTGCTTCTGTGGAGGTCAGAGAACAGCTTGTGGCAATCAGATCTCTCCTTTCACCATGTAGTCCCAGGAACTGAACTCAGGTTGTCAGGCTTGGCAGCAAGCGTCTTTGCCCCCTGAGCCATCTTGCTAGGCCCTGACTACAGATTTTAGCTTTGATTATCAGTAACTGTTTTCAGTACCTCTAAGCATTTGAAATGAGGATATAGTGGCAGAAGAACCAGGGAAAGGCTGAGGCAGCTGCAGTGGTTTTAATTTAGAACCTGAAACTTTGATTCTGAATAGTTGGACCTCAGTCAATCTGGATTTAATTTTTTAATTAATTAATTGGGGTGAAGGGTTAAGGTCTTTTATGTAGTACTGGCTGGCCTGGAACTTCCTGTGTAGACCAAGCTAGCTTGGAACTGAGATCTGCCTGTCTCTGCCTCCTGAGTACTGAGATTAAAGGTATGTGCAACCATGCCTGGCTGGATTTAATTTTTTTTAATATTTTATTTATTATTTTTATTTTATGTGTATGAATGTATTGCCTGCACGT